TACCTTTCCTTTTCACCTGCTTTTACCTTCTCATCTGTCTATTATAATCCCACCATAATATCAAAATCCAGTGTCAATCCTACCAATGTTATAAAGAACACCCAGAAAACTCAAACTAGAAACCATCCGTCCCCCTTTTAAATTCTTGTGATTTCTGTCAATTTCAATATTACAATATGAGAAGTCCTTAAAGTATAAAGACTATTTTCCCAAGTAAAAAAATTTTTAAAGATGTATCAACCCTGCTTCTCATCAACAAGATGGGCAGAAAAGAAACCAAAGAAAGTTTCCCACACTGAGTTGGAAGGTAGAGATGTCATTGGTGGAGGTTGGACTCCTTCATGGGTAAGGGTCTGGAGCCGTGAGGGTCCTGTCCCAGCTTGTGCCAGAGGGCCTTAGGAGTGTAAATGTCTGTGTGAAACGTTTCTATGTATTCATTCAATAATATTTCAGAGTTCACTGTGTGCTAGGCAGTGAACAGGAGAGACTCAGCTTACTCTCAGCAACCCACAGAAGAGTCCACAGTCACATAAGGTTGGTAAGCTGTAACTATGGCAGTCTCTTGAAATTCATGATGGACACTGTCATATAAAAGTCTCTGAAAAGTCCCACCATTAAAAACACACAATGCACTGGCCAGTGTGGTTCAGTTGGTTGGAACATCATCCTATGCAACAAAAGATCATGGGTTCGATTCCCAGTCAGGGCACATACCTGAATTGCAGGTCCAGTCCTCAGATGGTACATGTGTGGGAGACAACCGATTGATATTTCATTCTCACATTGATGTTTCTGTCCCCCTCTCCCCCTCTCCTCATAAAAATCAATAAAAGCATATCCTCCAGTGAGGATTGAAACACACACACAATTATATTGTAGTTCATATTATTGCCTAAACTAGTTTGCTCACAGAATCCTGACCCTGCTTTTGTTCTGGCAAAACCTATTAATATCCCATGCAGCTAGAGCTGTGTGGAACATACTTTGGGAAATTCTGTGTAAAAGCAGTTCAAATGCTGAGAAAGAAATGCTCAACCTGAGAGAGAAAAAAACATTGTTATATATTTTGGATGTTTGAGTTGAGGGGATTCTGTCTGGGAAAAGAACTGAAAGGGGTGGGGGTTTTGGCGGTGTGGGCAGGGAAACACTTCAAAGGTTCCAATCTTTTTAAGTTGTTTTTATCAGACCTTAAGGAACAGACCAGCGAACAGTAGGAAAAGTGACTTTTAAGTTTCTCAGACTTTCTCCTCCTAAGCCGCACTGCAAGCCTAACCCCAGCAAGATGATGTAGACCAGCGGTTCTCAACCTGGGTCATGACCCCTTTGGGGGTCCAATGACCCTTTCACAGTGGTCGCCTAAGACATTTAAAAACACATATTTCTGATGGCAATTCATAACAGTAGCAAAATTACAGTTATGCAGTAGCAACAAAAATAATTTTATGGTTGGGGGTCACCACACCATGAGGAACTGTAGTAAAGGGTCGCACCATTAGGAAGGTTGAGAACCACTGATGTTGACAGACAGTATTGATAGGGTTCTAAGCTGCCTCCACCTTCTACAGCTCTCCTTTATCTCAGAATTTTGAGGGAAAGAAGCTCACATCGTTGTATCCCTCCTGTGAAGTTCAAGTTCTGGTTATATTGGCAGAAATCAAGTAATTTTGGTTACTAATGAGTTCAGCCATGTTCACATTATGGTTGCAACAATAATATCCCAAACTGCTAATACTCTATCCTGGAGTTAAATTTTACATTAAGGCAAAAGAGTCAGAGAATGTAATTTTAATTGCATGCTTAAAATGTATTACTATCATGGTAGTTTAAATTGTATGAGCTTCAGATATTACAATGCTCACTCTGTAATGTGAAAGAAGGGTGCTGCTCTAGTGAATTCATTCTTGCATCCTTATATGGACACTGTGATGGGAACCCCTAGAGGCCTGGATTGTCCAAAGGCTTGAAAAAAATGCATTTTTCTCATATGTTTGAAATATTTCCTAACAAGCAAACCAAAAGTATTCCATTGAGCCTAAATGAAGTTATTGAGTATGTGCCAGAACTATCCCAAAGTGTGCATGCAGAACTGGCAGCATCCTGTGTAATGTGAGAGCCTCGACCGCTACCAATGAAAGCAGACAAACTTGGGAAGACCGGCTTCCCTGAGGACCCAGCTGCGCACAGGCCTTCCTCGCCAATCTTGCTGCCGCATAGTATTTTCTGACCAGTAACGAAGACAGCTGAGTTTCAGAACGTCAGCTCTCATGTATATATTTTATGGCAAAGTTAATTGGTACAGTAAAATAATCCAAAGATTCCGAGTAAATAATATATATTTTACTATATGGTGCTTTTTACATTTTATAAAGTATGTAATGGAAATTTATTAATGAAACATTGTTTCCTATTTTTTGGCCTTCCAAAATAATAATTCTTATAAAATATTTTGCTGACTCTACTTGGATGAAATTTCTGGTGTTTTCACAACGTAAGAAGCAGTTTTACAGGCTTAGAAATAATTAATCATTTTAAAGTTTTGACTCATTTTCACTTTACACTAATGAATTTTCAGAACCTCTTAAAGGTGGATATTCTTCAGAATAGAATACTTTTTTCTCCAATGAAGTGCAAACACTTTAAAAAATCATTTTATTATTAGTGTGGCTCAGAGAAATAGGTACTTTGATTCATTGTTGGTAGAAATGTAATTTGGAACATACTTTTTGAATATAATATACATATGTGCATGCATTTATACATATGTAGATTGGACCATCTTCCTAAAGAAATATTAGAAAATGTTGCACATTATTATAGAGATGTTCAGTACAATTTTATAGGTGTTTCTAGTTTTAAAAAGTAAGAGCAACTTAAATGCCCAGGTTTAATGGAAAAGTTGAATAAATTATATTGAATTCATACAATGAACTATCATGTATCGATTAAATAATTTATGCAAGAATACCAAATGACATGTTGAGGTGTTGATATACCCTTAAAGCATGTAACATAACTCTACATACAGCATAGTAATGCCATGTATAACTGTGTCCAGAAAAAAACGCTAGAAGAATATTTGCCTAAATATTAATAATGACTATACTTGAGTGATGGACTTATAGATGGATTTTTAAATTTTTTCCTATAATATTCCCTGTCTTCCAAGTTTTCTGCAGCAAATTTGTATTATTTATGAAATAAATAAACAAAATAAATGTTATAAGTTCCTCGGTGTATTCATACCCTTCATATCCTAACATAAGGAAATGAACAGATAGACACTTAAAGATGTACTTACAACTGTGTTCTTTCCTGACTTATTTACAGTAATAAAATACTGAAAGCAACTCAATGTTCATCAGGGAATTGGTTTTAAAAAACAACAGTGCATTTATGCAACAAAATATTGTACAATTTTCAACATCAGATTCTTAAAAGTATTTAAGAATGGGTGGGAAATGCTTATAAGAAGTTAAATTAAAAGGTACATAGATAGATAAATACATAGACATAACATAATTATAATTTTAATCGCCTAAAAAAATATTAGAGTTATATTTTAACATGTTAATGGGGTTACCACTGGATGGTGTAAGTATTTACATGTTCTTTTTATTTCCTTTTTTAACAATTTTCTATGCTTTCACATTTGTTTTTATAAACAAAAATGTAAACAATAAAGAAGTTTGTCTGGTTGCTAGTGATATTAAGATATACCACATATAGGAGGATGATCCCTTCAAATATTTTTTTCAAACTAGCATTTCTACCCATTGTATCAGTGTACCACACAGTAAGATAGGACTATTTCAATATGTTGTTTTAGTACTTGGGTCTCTGTGACAAACAACAGAAATAATTTTGACCAAAAGGTTTGCTTTCCTTTATAAGAAGCATAAAACAACACAGGAGATGGATGTACAGTGAGCTGGTCCTGGATTCACATTTCTGAACTGTGACACTAAGGTTTCTTAATCATTTACCTGTTCAGAATCTAAGTAAGCAAAAGCCAAAGTAGTTTCAAATTCAATGGCACCTCAGGTGTAGCCTTCCTCCCTCATACAAAGACTGCAACCATAGTATGAAGGTTTTTTAAAGATCATTGAGTTTATGCCTTTAACACAGCTCTAGTAACAGACTCTGATTGATTGTCAAGGCGAGTGACATCTTTGCTAGATTCAAGAAATGAAATTGTGTACACACACACACACTTGAAAGACTGTGTGGAGGAAAAATGTTTTTATGACCTTTATTACATATCTTTTTATTTCCTTAATATATCTCTTATGATGCAAAGGTTTAGCATTGCCATGAAAATTGCATTATGGGCAATAAGTCCAAAGATTTATCTATGTGCTGCCACTGATGAGTGGACTCAGTACTGATTGAAAGTTTATCTGTAAATGATTCTGGCCAAACAAGATAAAAGGACACAGTCCTGCCTTCATTCCTAAATGTAGATACAAAGACAGTTCTATGAATTTTCCATCCTTTTCCAATGTCTTTTCTCCAGTAAAATAGTCAAAACTGTATTTAACATATACTGACTTTTGCTTAAATTTAGTGAAATTTAATGTCATTTTAAAGGTTCAGCTTAAAATCATTGCCATAGAGCCCAAGAATATCACCAGTGAAACTTATCAAATGCATGTATGTTAAAAATCTGTTAGTTTATACTAAATATTAAGGATCAGGTTCAGTACATTATTATTTTTCCAATGGAACAAAAGACTTACACTGTTTTTTGCTGGTTTGTGTGTTTGTCTTTGGTTGTTTTACACTCTGTGCAGCTCACTCAATACTTTCAAGTTTTATGATAGGCACTGAAAATATAACAGGGAAAGAATTTTCGCTAACCAGATAAACAGGCAGAATTAACAGCAAGTATAAAGATCAGGCCAACAAAAAAATTAAAAGGTGGACAGTGAAAAGTAAAGAAAAAGAAGTGGAAAGCAAGTATGCGAGTTTAGGGGAAATAGAACAAAAATAATAATATTTACTTGACTTGTCCTTTCTCCATGTACGTCGTCCTGTAAAACCCCACGAGCGAGCCATTCAGCCAGCCGGCGAACTCCATGGTCAGGAGGTAGAGCCCGACATCGCGGGTGGGTGCGAGCTCTTCCGCGGCCTCCACCACCACGTACTCCTGCTTTTTGTACTCGAAGCACCGCTGGACTCGCACCTGCTCCCCTGAGGTCCGCTTCAGCACCGGGAGCCGGCTGATCCTGGTCTCCCGGAGGTGCAGCCACAGGTGCCGCGTGGGCGCGCTCACGTTGATGGAGATGGTCACCCTGCCGCTGTACGTGTCCTCCTCCATCACCGGCTTCACCTCCAGATCGTAGTGCTCCGGGCTGATGAAGTCCGGCAGCCGGAAATTCTTCCAGCCTCCACTTTCATCATCACTGGCAGGGCAGACCCCCTGGTCCTGGGGAGGGTTCGTGGTGGGAGGAGGTTGGGAAGGGCCACCTTCAGGGAGGTCACACGATCTGGTCAAGCCAACAGCAAGTCCTACTATCAACCCGACAGCCACCACCACGCCACAGATAATGGCCACATGTTTCCCTTTAATGCAGTGTCTCTTGGAGTCATCTCCCTCCGCGAAGTTCATTTTTGTTTCCAAAGTCAAATGTTGCACATGCAAGGATGTTCAATTTAACCAACTAACGTCAGCAGATTTCCCTTTTAAATGGGAAGGAATGCCCTGGTTTGGCACCCTGTTTTCGCCGATCCCACACCTCTCTCTGGCTTCTTTCTTCTCTCCCTGCACGGTCCCCCCAGCCACTCGAGGACGGACGAAAGCGGAGACAGGGGGTGGAGTAGAGGAGCTGAGCGAGGGTGGAGTAGAGGAGCTGAGCGAGAGGGAGTGGACTGCCGGGAAAACTGTCACAGCTCCCTTATAAACAGTGCATCCCCACCCCACCCCTCCGGCGCTGGAGGGAGTTAAATATAAAACAGGGTTTCGTTTATCAGCCAACAGAAGGAGGATCCTTTGCCAAAGCTCTGTCAGCAGCTTTCAGGAGGAGAACGTTAGGGAAAGAGGTGTGCTTGCAAGAGAAAAACTCAACCTTTGTCACTGGGTCTCTGCTTCTTCCTGCTCTGCTCACAATCTCTCTCTTAATCAAAGGGCTTCTTGAATTTCAGCTTTTTTATTAGGTAGCTTGCCAAAGAAGCTAAGTGTTTTCTTTTCATTCTTTTCCTCGTACGTATTATGTAAACATTCAGGTCCTACCTTTTGCCAAAGTCATATCCTGGAATTGGATGCTCAGAGTGATACATAAATTCAAGGACCACTTAGGTGCTCAGTAAGTATTTGTTGAACTGGGGGATTAGTAAGGCATAGCCAGGTAAACCCTAAATGAGTACAGTGGATGCTGGATGAAAGACTAGGAAACATGAAGAAATTAACCAAAGCAGTACTGGACCTGAAAAGCCTAAGAAGAAAAGAGAGAGAGAAAGGGGGAAAGGATTGAATCAGAACTATAAGGAAGGTACATTTGTGAGGTAATCTTGTTAGGTTAGATAACTGAACTGGATTAGATAAATTTATCTCTGCAGTTTGCCTCCAAGAGAGATTCTCTCTAAACTTGGATGTGGTAGGTCACATGTGGAACAGATTCTGATGAGAAAGGAGGCCTGTTGGGAGATTCATTACCTGTGCAAACCTGTTGCTTCCCAATGACAAGGTCAAGGGGGACATCACAAGAACAACCCCCCTGTTTATGAGTAGCTAAACATGTAGGCACCTGAGTCATCTCTAATAGTAGCAATACAATAATAATGATTAAAACTTTGAGAACTTCAAACAAGAAAACTTTGAGAGCTTTCTATATGCCAGGTACTATCCTAAGTACTTCATCGAAGTCATTTAAATCTTCCCAACAACCCTATAGAATGGTATTACATGCCCATTTTATTTTTTTCTTTATTGATTTTATTTTTAAAATTTATTTTTGTTACAGATGTTTCTCCTTTTTCCCCCCATTGACTCCCTCATCCCCATCTCCTCCCACCCCATCCCCAGCTTTGTTGCCTATGTCCATTGGTTATGCATACATGCATATAAGTTCTGTGATTTATCCCTTCCCTCCCACCTTCTGAGGAATGTTAGTCTGTACCTTACTTCTATAACTCTGGATCTATTTTGTTCATCAGTTTGTTTAGTTCATTATATTCCAGAAATAAGTGAGATCATGTGATATTTGTCTTTCGCTGCTTGGCTTGTTTCACTTAGGATAATAGTTTCCAGGTTCCTCCATGTCGTCTCAAAGGATAAGAGATCTTTCTTTCTTACAGTTGCATAGTACTCCATTGTGTACATGCACCACTGCTTTTTTATCCATTCATCTACTGATGGACACTTGGGCTGTTTTCAGATCTTAGCTATTGTAAATAGTGCTGCTATGAACATAGGTGTACATATATTCTTTCTGATTGGTGTTTCAGGTTTCTTAGGGTGTATTCCTAGAAGTGGGATCACTGGGTCAAATGGCAGTTCCATTTTTAACTTTTGGAGGTAACACCATAGTGTTTTCCATAGTGGTTGCACCAGTCTGCATTCCCACCAACAGTGTACTAGAGTCCCCTTTTCTCCACACCCTCGCCAGCACTTGTTGTTTGATGATTTGTTGATGGTGGCCTTTTTGACAGGTGTGAGGTGATACCTCATAGTTGTTTTAATATTCATCTCTCTGATGATTAGTGATGTTGAGCATTTCTTCATGTCTTTTGGCCATTTGTATGTCCTTCTTGGAGAGGTGTCTATGTAGGTCCTCTGCCCATTTTTTAATTGTACAGCCCTCGTTTTAAAGCAGTGGTTCTCAACCTTCCTAATGCCATGCCCCTTTAATTCAGTTCCTCATGTTTTGGTGACCCCAACCATAAAATTATTTTTGTTGCTACTTCATAACTGTAATTTTGCTACTGTTATGAATCACCATCAGAAATATGTGTTTTCCAGTGGTCTTAGGCGACCCCTGTGAAAGGGTCCTTCAACCCCCCAAAGGGTCGTGACCCACAGGTTGAGAACTGCTGTTTTAAAGCCTATTTTGTTTGATATAAGTATGCTACCACAGTTTTTTATTTCAATTTGCATGAGATATCTTTTTCAAACCCTTTACTTTCAGTCTGTCTTTTGATCTAAAGTGGATCTCTTCTAGGCAACAGATGTGTAAGTCTTATGTTTATGTTTTTTTTGTGTGTGTGGTGTTTTTTGTTTTTTTGTCCGTTCAACTATGTATGTCTTTTGATTGGAGCAGTTAGTTCATTTACATATAAAGTAATTATTGTTAGATATGTAATTATTGCCATTTTATTAATTATTTTATGATTGTTTTTGTTGTTTTCCTCTGTTTCTTTCTTTTTTTTTTTTTTAATCTTCACCTGAGGACACTTTTGCATTTATCTTCAGATAAAGCAAGAGGGAGAGAGGGGAAGAAAGAGAGACAAACATCAATGTGAGAGAGACACATCGAATGGTTGCCACCCACACAACCCCAATTGGGGCCAGGGACAAACCGAAACCAAGGTACATGCCCTTAGCGGGAACCAAACCCTGACCTCTCTAGTCCATGGGCTGACACTCTAACCACTGAGCCAAACCAGCCAGGGCTCTGTTCCTTTCTTATTTTATTGATTCTTTCTCTAGTATGTTGATGACTTCCTATAGTGTTGTGTCTGGATCCTTGCTCTTCATTTGTTTTATATCTTTTGTAGATTTTGGTTTGTGGTTATCTTGTGCTACCTATATACCAAGGTATGTTTATAACAGTCTATACTGAGTTAATGGTCACTTAAGTTTGTACAGTCTAAAATCACTACACTTTTACTCACCTCATCCACATTTATATTATTGTCATTATTTTTTACTTTTGTGTGTGTGTTTGTGTGTGTATCCCTTAATTTACTTTTGTAATTACACGTAATCTTACTTTTGCCTTTTAATTTTTTTACCAGCTTTATGGTTGGTTGATCCACTGCTTTTATTATATGTTTGCCTTTGTCAGTGAGAATTTTTTCCTTTCTGATATTTTTTATTTATATTTTTTATCTTTTCTTCTTAATCGAGTTCCTTTAATCTTTATTGTAATATTAGTTTAGCAGTAATCAACTTCCTTAGTTTTTTTCTTGTTTGTTCTAAATAGTAGCTTTATTAGGTAGAGTAATCTCGGTTGTAGGTCCTTGCTTTTAATCACTTTGAATATTCTGATCCCTTCTGGATTGCAAGATTTCTATTAAAAAATTAGGTGACAGTCTTACGGGAACTTCCTTGTATGTAAATAACTGCCTTTCTCTTGCTACTTCAGATTCTCTCTTTGTCCTTAACCTTTGGGATTTTAATTATGATGTGTCTTGGTGTGGGCCTCTTTGGGTTCATCTTGTTTGGGGCTGTCTGTGCTTCCTGGACTTGTATGTCTATTTTCTTTGCCAAGATAAGAAAGTTTTCTATTATTATTTCTTCCAATAGATTTTCAATCACTTGCTCTTTCTCTTCTCCTGGTACCCATATGGTGTAACTACTGGTATGCTGTTCTGAATGAGTGTTTTGTTACTTTTTCTTTCAGATTGCTGATTTGATCTTATGCTTCATTGAATCTGTTGTTGATTCCCTCCAGTGTATTTATCATCTTAGTTATTGTATTCATTTCTGACTGATCCTTTTTTGTTTTCCGTCTCCATTTTTATGTTTTCTATCTCTTTAGTAAAGTTTTCAATGTGTTCATACTTCTTCTCATAAATTATTTGAGCATCTTTATAACCAGTGCTTTGAACTCTGCCTCTAGTATTATATTGCTTGACTCCATTTCATTTAGTTCTTTTTCTGGAGTATTGACCTGTTTTTTCAGTTGGGACATGTTTCTTGGTCTCCTTGATTTGGCTGATTCCATTTGTTGTTTTTATGTATTAGGTAGATCAGCCGTGTCTCTTGGTCTTGGCAGAGTGGCCTTATGTAGCAGGTGTCCTATGGGGTCAGTTGGTGCATTCTCCCTGTTCACCTGAGCCAGGTGTTCCAGGGGTGTCCCTTGTATGAGTTCTGATGCCTCATGTTGCAGTTGAGCTTTGGTTGTTGTTGGTATATCAGGGGTGGGACTGACCCTCAGGCTGACTGGCTGTGAGAATAGCTTTGACTCCAGTGGACGAGCTTTTTTATGGGGGTTGACTCTACACAGAGGGATTCACTTTAGTGGGCTCCGGTGCCTGCTGAGTCTGCCATTTGGGTGCTTTATTTATGGAGCTGATTGGTTTGTTGTCTGGTGTCATCTGAAGCTGGCCCATTATATGTGTTGGTTCTGGGGCTTCTTGAGAGCGTCTTTCATGCTGGCCAAGCTCAGCCACTGTCTGGGTCCATCCCAGAGCCACCTGGTAGGAGTTAAAGGGTGATCTGTGGTTGGTTTCCTCCTGTGATGGGCTTGGAGCTGCCTGGGAGAAGTTAGGCTGCTTCTAGTGTCAGGTCTGGTGCCTCTTTGCAAGAAGGATGGTGCACCCTTAGGTCAGCCGCTGCTTGTTTGGTGTTTTTGGAACTTTGAGAGATTTTAGGAAAGTCTGCACCTTGAGCTGATGATGGTCATTTGAATGGAAAAGCTGGTGAAAGTGGTTCAGGTTAGGCATGCAAGTTGGCTGGGGCAGGGTCTCAGGGCATTACCAGGGTGTAGCAAATGGTGTCAGCCAAGTTAATGGAGAGTTCAGATTTGGTGTCCACATGGGCCCA